GGAGGAGGAAGAAAAGGAAGAGAGGAGGAAGGACTTTCTCGACTTGACATAAGCCTTATTATAAAGCCAGTGTGACTCATTATTGTGGCAGTGTGATATTGCAGCAGGGAACACAGAAAAATAGACAGACAAACAGACCAATGTAATAAAAGAGCTCAGAAACAGACCCATGCACATATGGATACTCGATTTAAGTCAAAGATAGCATTGCGAAGGGAGGGGGGAAAGGATGGTCTCTTCATAAAATGGAGCTGGAATAACTGGGTATCCAAATGGAAAGAGGGAAGAAGGGAGGGAGGAAGGCATATACTCTTGACCATATGCGCTGGGCGACATGTACAAGAATGTTTGTAGCAGCATTACTCATAATATCCTAAATTAGAGACACCCAAAATTCAACAGGATGGATAAATAAAATTCATAAAATAAGAGTATTTTACAGCAATGAAAATGAATAAACTGTAGTCTCATACAGAATAGATGACTCTTAATTAAAAACATAATACTGAATGAAAGAAGCCAGATACACAATACATGTGATTTCACTTACAAAAAAAATCACAACCAGGAAAAAAATTTAGTGATGTAGGATACAGTGGTAAAATTATTGGGGGGGGGGGGATTCGACCAGCAAACATTTGTTTTTTTCCTGCATTGTTATATTTTTTAAAATAATGCAAAATTTTAAAATTCAAAAAAAATGTAAAAGGTCAGATTTCTGGCCTTTCTTGAAAGTTGGAGGCTTGGCAAGGCGGGCCTAAATTCCCCTCTGGCAGTGCTTGGGTGGATGAGAGATACAGTAATAAAATTATAAAGAAAAGCAAGTCAATATAGCTGTTATCTCTATAAAGGAGATAGGGGTTAACATGAGGAAGGGATTATGGGGCAAATCTTCTAGAATGCTAGCTACATTCTATTTCTTTAACTTGATGGTGGCTATGTGCTATTTGCTTTATAATAAACTACAGAGTAGCTGTACATGCATGTTTCAGGTACTCCTTTATCTTCATGTTATATTTCACAAGAAAAACGTTTTAAAAAACCAAATTCACCTTGGCTACTGTCTTAGCAGACAGTGCAAGTAGGAAGTCCAGTTGTCCAGTAAAGACATGATGGGGGCTTGGACTAGAGTTGGGAAGTAGTCAGATTTAGGAAAGATTTCAGAGATAACAGGACTTGGTGTGGAATATGAAGGGGAAAAAAAGCTGAAACAGCAAGCACACTGACGGTCATAAAATATAGCAAGGGAGTAGGTATATAATAGAATTAACAAAGCTTTGGAAACAGAAACATTAATGTGAAATGCTAAACTGTGTGAGTGGATACTAGATGGAGAACTTTTGTCCAACTGATTAGGAGAGGCTTCAGAGAGGGGCACTTGGGTGGCTCGGTCGGCTAAGCATCTGGCTTCGGCTCAGGTCATGAGCTCACAGTTTGTGGGTTTGAGCCTCGCGTCAGGTTCTGTGCTGACAGCTCAGAGCCTGGAGCCCACTTCGGATTCTGTGTCTCCCTCTCTCTCTGCTCCTCCCCTGCTTGCACTCTGTCTCTGTCTCTCAAAAATGAATAAATGTTAAAAAAAATTTTTTTTAAAGGAGGGGCTTCAGAAGAAAGTTGGAAATACAAACACTGGACATAGATGAATATGCACTGGGGAATAGATGGTCGTTTCAACAAATGGTGCTGGGAAAACTGGACAGCCACATGGAAAAGAATGAAACTGGACCACTCTTTAAAAATAAACTTCAGGGGCGCCTGGGTGGCTTAGTCGGTTAAGCGTCCAACTTTCGCTTAGGTCATGATCTCGCGGTTCGTGGGTTCGAGCCCCGCGTCGGGCTCTGTGCTGACTGCCAGCTCAGAGCCTGGAGCCTGTTTCAGTCTGTGACTCCCTCTCTCTCTGACCCTCCCCTGCTCACGCTGTCTCTCTCTCTCTCCTAGAAATAAATAAAACATTAAAAAAAAAAAATTAAAAAAATAAAAATAAAAATAAAAATAAACTTCAAATGGATTAAGGACCTAAATGTGAGATCTGAAACCATAAAACTCCTAGAACAGAACATAGGCGGTAATTTCTTTGACATTAGCCATAACAACATTTTTCTGGATATGTCTCTTAAGGTAAGGGAAACAAAAGCAAAAATAAACTACTGGGACTACATCAAAATAAAATGCTTTTGCATAGTGAAGGAAACCATCAACAAAATGAAAAGGCTCCTAATAAGTAGGAGAAGATATTTGCAAATGATACATCTAAAAAGGGTTCATATCCAGACTATATAAAGAACTGATACAATTCAAGACTAAAAAAACTCCACAAATAATCCCTTTACAAAATGGGCACAGGACCTGAACAGATATTTTTCCAAAGAAAATATACAGATGGCCAACACACACATGAAAAGATACTCAACATCACTAATCATCAGGGAAATGGAAATCAAAACCACAATGAGAGATCACTCTATACCTGTCTGAATGGCTAAAATAAAAAAGACAAGAGGGGTGCCTGAGTGGCTCAGGCAGGTAGTCCAACTTCAGCTCAGGTTATGATCTCACTGTCTATGAGTTCAAGCCCCACGTCAGGCTCTGTGCTGACAGCTCAGAGCCTGGAGCCTGCTTCGGATTCTGTGTCTCCCTCTCTTTCTGCCCCTCCTCTACTTTCACTCTGTCTCTCTCTCTCTCTCTCTCTCTCTCTCTCTCAAAAATAAATAAACATTAGGGGTGCCTGGGTGGCTCAGTTAGTTTTAAGTGCCTGACTTCGGCTCAGTTCATGATCTTAAAGTTTGTGGGTTCAAGCCCCGTGTCAGGCTCTGTACTGACAGCTTGGAGCCTGGAGCCTGCTTCAGATTCTGTGTCTCCCTCTGTCTTTGCCCTTTCCCTGCTCATGTGTGCTCTCTCTCTCTCAAAATAAATAAACATTAAAAAAAGTTTAAATAAACATTAAAAAATTAGACTAAAGGGGCGCCTGGGTGGCTTAGTCGGTTAAGCGTCCGACTTTCACTTAGGTCATGATCTCGCGGTTCGTGGGTTCGGGCCCCGCGTCGGGCTCTGTGCTGACTGCTAGCTCAGAGCCTGGAGCCTGTTTCAGAGTCTGTGTCTCCCTCTCTCTCTGACCCTCCCCTGATCATGCTGTCTCTCTCTCTCTCAGACATAAATAAAAAAACATTTAAAAAAAAATTAGACTAAAAAGACAAAGAAATATGTGTTGATGGATATGGAGATAAAGGAACCCTCATGCACTGTTGGTGGGAATGTAGATTGGTATAGCCACTGAGAAAATGGTATGGAATTTACTCAAAAAATTAAAACAGAAATATCATATGATCTAGTAATTCCACAATAGGGTACTTACCCAAAGAAAAATGAAAACACTAATTTGAAAAGTTATATGCACCCTTATGCTTATTTAAGCATTATTTATAATAGCCAAGACATGGAAGCAATTCAAGTGTCCATCGACAGATGAATTGATAAAGGTGTGGTATACACAGAATGGAATATTACTCAACCATAAAAAGGATGAGATCTTGCCCTTTGTGACCACATAGATAGGCCTAGACAGTATAATACTAAGTGAAATAAGTCAAAGACAAATAGCATATGATTTCACGTATATTTAGAATCCAAAAAACAAACCAAATAAACAAGCAAACAAAAAAGCAGAAACAGACTCATAAATACAAAAAACAAAGTGATGATTGCTGGAGGGGAGGGAAGTAAGGAAAAGCACCTAATAGATGTAGGAGAAGGGAAGATTCAGGCTTCTAGTTATGGAATGAACAGGTCATGGGAATAAAAAATTCAGCAAAGGGAAGATAATCAATGGGGTGAAAAAAAGAATGAAAAGTTGAGAAAACAAAACTGGGCATAGATTGTGGAGGAAATGGAAGAGGGGATGATACAATTAAAGGGAGGTAGTTGACAGACTACAGGTAGATACTGTGTATTGTTCTGAACTCTTTTGCACATTATTTTGAGACATTGCATACATTACCCCTCAAATAGGCTTTTAATCTACTCATGCTATCATCTGAATCCACAATGAAAGGTGTAGTACATTACTTCCAACACATGCCAGAAAGTCTGACTGAACTATGAAACCTTGAACAAGCACATCACACAGCTCCTAGAGCCCAGGACCAGCCATGGTCAGCCAGCATGACAAGCACATGATCCGGGTTGACTGTGCAGCAATGCTTCCATACTGTGTAGTACATATTAATAGCTTTTATGTTATTGAACTAATTTTAACATTAGGATGTTACTGGAAATTTTATTTTTGGTACCTTTTCTCATTGGATAGACTGATGAGCTGGGGGAACAAAGGCGGGGGGTAATATAGAAATGATGTCTAGAAACAGAAGTTTGTGGGAAGGGAGACTTCCCAGTCAACCCACTTTATCTAGGAAGGCTTCCTGCATGAGTCAGAGTTGATTTGAGAATCATCCAGAATTAACAATAGAAGGAGGGAGGATCTTTTTCAGGCTTGTGGGAAAATGAGAGCAGGATAAGCAGTGATTTTAAAACTCTTTGGAGTCTCTGATTTAGGCATGACTCTCTCTTTCAGACGCATTAAATGTCTTATGACATTAAAAAATGTACTGTTGGGCTGAATGAGAGTGAACTTTGCTTTGACAGGTGTTTGAGATGCCAAAAGAGCCCTTAAAAGAACTGAAAGTGAAGACACTGAAAGCTAGTGGAGGACAGAACAACCAAGGGAAGAGTCTCTATTAATAGACTAACCTACAGTGGTCCTCCTTATCCACAGAGGATTGGTCCAAGACCCCCAGCAGATGCCTGAAAGCACACATAGTCCCCAACTCTACATGTACTACGTTCTTTCGCATACATACATACCTATGATAACGTTTCATTTATAAATTAGCCATGGTTAGAGAGATTAATGACAATAACAAAAGCCCAATTACAACAATGTGTTGTAATAAAAGTTACGTGAACGTGGTTCCTCTCTCTCTCAAAATATCTTATTGTACTGTACTCACCCTTCCTGCGATGATGTGAGATGAGAAACTGCCTACATGATGAGATGAAGACAGTGACTGACAGAGGCATGGTGAGGTAGCCTTAGGCTGCTATTGACCTTGTGGCCATAAATCAGGGTGATCCGTTTCCTGCCTGCCTTTGGCACTGGTAACTGAAACCCTGAAAGTGAAATCACGCATAAGAGGGGACTGTTGTAGAGCCAAAATAAGATAACAGCTAATGTTCATCTAATGTTTACTGTAAACCAGGCACACTTCTAAGGGCTTTACCTGTATCGACCCATTTAATTGTCACAGCAGTGCTGTGAGGTCATCCCCATTTTATAAGTGAAACCTAGGTACTGAGAGATTGCTAAACTAAACTGGCTGAGTTCGCACAACTGGAATTTGAAGCCAGGCATTCTGACTCCAGAATCCGTACTCTTCACCAAGGTGTCTTTTTCTTAGAAAAAGAGGAAAAGATAGCATAAATTCTGGAACTTCTTTATGATTCGTCATACTGCAAACTATGGTGGCATTTTAATATGAAATACAGAGATGGTTATCTCCTCTACTTCACCCCTATTGCTTATTCCTTTGGCTTTCTAACCATATTATTCTCTAGGGTGATTCTAGGGTGTAGCTGACCTCAGCTCTATTTTATATTATTATTATTTCATTTTATTATTTTTTAGCAGTCTCCACACTCAGCAGGAGCCCAACACCGGGCTTGAACTCACCACCCTGAGATCAACACCTGATCTGAGATCAAGAGTCGGACACTTGAGGGACTGAGCCACCCAGGCACCCCTTCAGCTCCTTTTTCCTTTTTAATCTAACATATATTTGCTTTAAAAAAAAATTCCACATATTTGAAAAAGATCCGGTGAGGGTTTTAAATTAAGGATTCAAGATAAACAATCAGATACTTGGCTTTGAAGATTATTGAAATACCTTACAGCTACTATTGGATTTGGCGTGCTAATGTTCATTAAACTGCAGCACTTTGAGGATTGTTCAGGAACGGCTGGTAAACTAATTACCAGAGGTCACAAGAGCTGCCATAATTGACAGTCTTCAAACTCCTTACACTCCGGAGTGTGAAATGCAGCAGGAAAACGAGGCAACTTCCAAATCAGGGAAGATGGAGAATGGTATTACAAAAGTAACTTTCCTGCCGGGCTCCAGAGTTCCTACATATTTAATAAGCTACAAACTACAAAACGCGATAAAGCCATCGAAGCTTTTCCACACATGGTCACACCTACCCAGGCTAACGGGAAAACAGATCTTAACTGGAGCCAGAGTTGCTGTTCCTCAAATAATGCGCAAGGGTTTCCTGAAAAGCCACAGCGAACCAATTCTAACCCGGTCCACAACTGCTTTTTAAAGTCTCCCCCAGAAATGCTCTCCTTCGGCCGCGGCGCTTGCTGGGCGCTTGCCGGACTAGCCCTCCGCCTGTTTCCCCATTCTCCGCTCTGGACGTCAGCCTCGGCGCCCCGAGGCCAGCGCAGAGGGAGGGGAGGCAGAGCGGAGGGAGAGAGGAGAGCGAGCGAGGGAAATGGTCAAGTCCTCCTTAACTCTGGGCCCCCTCGCGGGCCTCACCCCTCCTCCCGGGGGCTGAGATTGGAGAGGAAGTGGGAAGGCTCCAATCTGTTCCTCACACCAGCGCCCTCATGCCCCCACCCTTCTCCGCAGCTCGGGGCTTCGGCGCGCCTCATCCCCGCCCCTCACCCCGGGAGAGGAGCGGGCGCCGCGGCAGGGCTCGCGGAGAGAGGCCGGGGGAAGCGGACTGTCTCCGCTCGGCAGCAGGGGCCCGCAGCCGCCCGCCCCCGGGCGAGCCAGGCCCGAGGGCAGCCCCGGAGACCGCGGCGGCCGGATGCGCGGGCGCGTCACTTCCGGGCGGTGCAGCGGCGGCCGCTTGGAAGATGGCTGCGCCCTGTGGCTCGGAGCTGCCCGCCAACTCGCCGCTAAAAATCCCGAAGATGGAGGTGCTCTCCCCGGCTTCTCCTGGTGGCCTGAGCGACGGAAATCCATCGCTGTCCGACCCTTCCACGCCTCGGGGTGCCTCCCCGCTCGGGCCGGGCAGTGCGGCGGGCTCGGGGGCAGCGGCGTCTGGGGGTCTCGGGCTGGGGCTGGGGGGCCGCAGCGCCGCCTCGTCCTCGGTCTCCTTCTCCCCTGGTGGCGGCGGTGGCGGGGCTGCGGCAGCCGCCGCCGCCGCCTGCCGGGGCATGTCGTGGACGCCGGCCGAGACGAACGCGCTCATCGCAGTGTGGGGCAACGAGCGGCTGGTGGAGGCGCGGTACCAGCAGCTGGAGGGAGCCGGCACGGTGTTCGGCAGCAAGGCCCCTGGGCCAGCCATGTACGAGCGCGTGTCCCGGGCCCTGGCCGAGCTGGGCTACGAGCGGACCCCTTCCCAGTGCCGGGAGCGCATCAAGGTAACCGGCCGCCCGGCCTGGGGCAGCGAACCAGAGGCAGAGAGAAGGCGGGGAAGCGGGCCTCGGGGGCGGGGGCCGGTCTGAGCGCAGGGCTCCCCTCCGGGGCCCGGTGGGCGATTCGCATCTCCTCCGCCTTTTTCTTCTTTCCCTGGGAAGGGGGCTTTTTTCCAGATGGCCGCCAGCCCGTAGGTTTCCTGAGTTTGAAGTTGGGCGTGTCTGCCGCCGCCCCTCTTTCTTGCAAATTGATGTTCCTACGCTCTGAAGTTGGTAGTTTCTCATTGTGCGCTGTGCGGCAGTTCCCCGTGTCGCTGGCGCCTCTCGCCCCCACCGCCGGGGCCCCTCGCTTTGTTCCAGGCTGAGGGGCTCCCAGGCCGAGGCTTACCAGTCGGGGCGGAATTAAGGAAGGATAGAAGAGGGGGCCCGGTGAGCCCTCAGTTTAGGAATTTTTCACATGAGTGGCAGTGCCGAGCCACGCAAAAAGCGCCTTTGGACGACTGGTCTTTGTGTCAGTCGCCTTGCTTTTCTAACTTGAGCTTCGAAGGATAAGACTTGAGATGCTTTGGAGAATCGAAGAGGCTTGATTGTAGTCAGATAGTGTATTGTTATCGTGGAGTTAGGGGCGCAATTAAAGTTAGCCTGGCTGAGAGAGTTGGTCTGCAATTTGTGGAGTGTCGATGCCTCCAGAGTTAGGTTGGCTTGAGGCCCTTCTATGCTTCTGACTACGCTCCTTCACGAAAGCCAGTTTTTCCCTCCTTTAGTTATTGTGCCGGATGTGGTGAAAAGTAAAGCTCTCAGTGTGCATCTGGCTATCTTTGTGGATCTGAGTGTTTAGAGACAGAGGCTTAATTTCGGCTAGACATTTTCATCACCAGCCAGGTTATTTTTTTTCGTTGTTTGTTTTGACCTTTAATCTGGGCTTTCAGATTTGTGTTATTGGCAGATAGGGAGTTGTCTTCTAGATAGGCTCGTTCCCTTGTCATAGCGTCTGCTAAAAGATTCTGGTAGGAATCTTTCTCCCAGTTTTCAATGAACTACCTCTGGTTAATAGTCCTAGTATCCGTGTATTTCTTCTCTGGTAGGGATGACACTCCCCCCGAGCTCCTTGGGGGTTAAAAACCCAGTGAGAACAATCGCAGTCACACTAACAGAGGAGATTGTTCCAAAGTTGGAGAGATCCAAAGTTGGAAGGAATGTTCATCCCGGGACATTGTTGCTTAGAAAATTTGGTGCAGAAACTAAGATATTTCAAACTTCTTGACTGTCATTCAGGGAATTTGGCACCCATTTTTCAATTACAAAATTGAATTGGTTTACTTGATAATGTTTACCTTTAGGTCTTCTTATGGCCCTCTCTTTTTTTACCCCCTTAACAAGGGTGTCATTAAAGTAGTAGTTTATAGACAGAATTAAAGTAGCAGCTAATAGTAGCCTGTGTTCTGAATCTCATTCATTGTTCTATTAAAGACTAGAGTTATAAATTCAGTTTCAAGGTCATTAAGGTTAAATTTCTGGGAGCTTTTGCACCGGGCTGGTTAGCATCCACCCATGAAATTTTTGTGAGTTTAGAAGTGTGCTTAGGCATTTGTAACTGTTTTAGCTTGATTGGTTTTTGTCCATAGAAATTTCCCAATCAAAATGGAAAAGTGTTGTGCAATCAAAGCCTCACTGAATATAAATCTCCATAAAACTGTTTCTCAAACAACAGGAAATAACTGGCTGGGTTGCATCTTTGTCCAATTACGAGAAGTATAACCTAAAGCAAGGAAAGGAGATTGGGTTTCTCTGAAGAATTTTTTTTTAATTTTTAAATTTTATTTATTTTGAGAGAGAGACAGCATGAGCAGAGGAGGGGCAGAGAGAGAATCCCAAGCAGGCTTCATACTGTTAAAGCAGAGCCCAAAGCAGGGCTCAAAGTCACAAACCATGAGATCATGACCTGAGCCAAAATCAGGATTCACATGCTTAACCACCTAGGCCACCCAGGCGCCCCCTCTGAAGAATTTTTAAAAGAGGATCCTTTTTATCCATTTTCAAATCGATAAGACCAAATTGACCTCAAGCTCTTAGAATATTTTGAAAACATGTTGACAGTGACAAGGAGGGTAGATGACTGTATGTACATGTTTTTTCTTTATTTGTTAAGTGATTTCAACCAAGGAACCAGAGATCTTCATTAACAGTGTTGGTCTTTCCTGCCAGAATTATAAGCTCTATAAGGACAGGTTCTGGTTTCTCTTATTCACTGCTTTATTTCCAGTGCCTAGTACATGGTAGACGCTGGATACATATTTATTAAATTTACCAAATAAAGTCTAGAATGAGAACTTTGGAAAGTATAGAGATCTAGATCAGTGTTACTCAAACTTTAATCCGAAGACATAGACTTTGAAACCCAGTTTGAAAAATTTTGCATTGAAAACTAAGCTCTGTCCCTCTAGAAGACTTTGTATGAACGTAAATTTAAGCACAGAAGCAAATGTCGTCACTGAGATCATAGCCTTACGCAGTTATGAGGTGGATGTCCAAGTAATCCGGAATATGTTTATGAAAATAAAAGCACAACTTTAAAAAATTCTCAGAGAGTCTCAGATACCTGAAAACAGATCTTTAGATCCCAGTTTCAGAAGTGCCTATTCAGAATGAGTAATTCAGAAATCTCTTCTTATTCTTTATTTTAAAAGTTTATTAATTTATTTTTGAGAGAAAGGGAGGGAGAGAGAGAATCACAAGCAGGCTACACACTGTCAGCCCTGAGCCCAATTCAGGGCTCGCTCTCACAAACCGTGAGATCATGACCTGAGCCAAGATCAAGAGTTGGACATTCACTGACTGAGCCACCCAGGCGCAACCAGAAAACTTTTTTACTTTATTGTCTTGATGAGAACTGCAAAAAGAAATTCAGCAATCTTTTGTGCTTTGAATTTTACAACTTAAAAAAGGTACAATAAGTTATGGACCATGAGGAACTTCTTGTACAGACTAATGTGCTCACTTAAATGTGAACTCATGTCAGAGGGTCACAGGGAAGGAACATCATCTGTGTCCATTAAATTTTTGTCTCCGTGCATTTGAAAAATGCATTAAAATGCAATTATGAAAACTCAGTAAATAATTTCTTCTAAATTTGGAAGGAGGGAAGGGATATATAGGAACTTCGGTTTTTCCAGGAAACTTTCCTATAATCATAGTTACAGCTTGTTGAGGTGGAAGCCTTCATCTCACAAGGCATCAGAAAGCTATGTCCCATCCCAGCCTCTTTCGTGACTACCTCCCTGAGTAACCTGAAAACACCTCACTTCCCTTTTCTGGACTGTGTTTTAGAATTCTTAGCTACTGAAATTGTAAATTTTGTAATTAATAGCTCTTGGATTTTGCTACCAAACTACTATTTTTTGAATGCTATCCAAGTGAATATGTATATTTCTAAGTGCACAGGATTTTAGCTTAAAGTCAGATATAAACATTCGTTTTTTGCTGCAAAGAGTTTCATTTTGAAGTCCAACATGTCCTTTTATTGGTATTTGTTCAGTCATTTGGATGAAATGGATGTGTTTGAGACTGCCTTACTGCACAGATTATTGTTTGGTTCTGAAGTTTTGTTGCTTTTTTTGTTTGTTTGCCAGAAGAAAATTCATCCACTAACAATTCTAGCCTAATTTTGGAGCCAGATAAACACATGGGTGGTTTTCTTCTGGTCATTGCATGATTTTTCTTATTCTGTAGGCCTTTTCATCCTGTTTCCATTCACCAAATAACTTGAGGGCTTACTATGTGCAGGGCTGTATGCTAGATGTTAGGATAAATAAAAGGATTGTAATATATAGTCCAAGAGCTTACAGTACAGTTGACGTCAGTATACACACATCAAAGAGTTAAAAGCTGAACAACACAAGGGATGGTATGTGATGCAGTATTTGATTAAGTGTCATATGACTAAAGCAGACAATAAGTGTGATGACTTCAAAGGAGGAAGAGATCTCATCACAGTCCATACTGTAGTAGTTGAAAGATCTATCTAGACTTGGCATTCATGAAAGCATTCACTTCTGAGCCAGATGCTGTATTCACACTTCAGTCAGTTAATCTGATGCACTGCAAAACTCATTCTCAAGTCCCATATTTTTGGGTGTTCTCCAAAAATTTGCCTCTTGAGAGTTGGCTTTATGTCTTTGAAACAGATGTGTACTTCTAGCTCTGCTTCGAGATGAAATGCAAGGTGATTGTATGACCTAAAAAGCTTGTCTTTGCTGGATCAGTACTGGTTGCTCATCAGACAAATTTAAAAGTGGTAGAGAGTCTTCTGCCTAGCAACCAAAATGATCAGTGTTTTAGGGATGTTGCTTAGATTTATTCATCAGTAATTGTTAGAATCTGTAGAACAAACTTCATGCTTTAGCAGACAAATTACGTATAATCCATTTGGTCTTTCATTTTAGCTCTCAAGCCTTGTCATTTGTTTGTGAGAACCAATAAGATAAAGACGACCTGAAGCCGGCAGATACCCCTGTCCCTGTGTAACATTTTTCATAGACTTCACCCACCTCTGAGGATTTTTCTCTGGTGTTTGTGGACAAGACATTCCCTCTGTACTGTCATTGAAAGATATCCGAGAAATACAGTATACCAGTCAAATCGTTTGCAAGAAAGATTTGGTCAGATTTGTTTGCTTCCATTTTTTACATATTTTGTTTCTGTTGTTCCTATGCCACTGTCATCTAGAGGCTTGTGTGTTCCAGAATACTTGCCTGCTTGTGAGTCTGTTAGAGGCTTGATGTGTATCTTAAAGGAATAGACCATCTCGGACTACCGACCATATACTTACAGTCTTTCAGTTTAGGAGGTAAGGGTCTAACAAGCACATGTTAAAACTTTAGATAAATAGTCTTCTGAGTTTATTTCTTGGCATTTGGGGCAGTCTAGTAAAGAGTGGAATGAAATTATTATGGGTCCTTCGCTAAGAGGATACGTAAAAGAAAAAAAGAATTTGGAAAGCACATAGT